GGGATACCATTGGGGGGGGGGGGGGGGGGGCGGTGAACCGAGAACCGGGATCATATATATGTTTTTTGGTTATGTTTTTGTGTCCCCAAACCAGGCCCCTGCATTAGTCCCTTGCTCTTCCCTTGTTCTTTTCGAAGCGGGGGAGGCTCAGTCCTTACTTGTTGCCTGTGGCTGCGGAGCTGTCGCCGGCGCGCTCGGAGCCATCACGTCGTTCCTGGGCTATGTCAGACACCGAAAGCTGAGATACTAATGGATGACGATTCGATGTTTCGAAGGGGTTGCCGTATACTACGCATGCTAGCTTTGGCTTTTATGGTGGTGCGAGTCACTACGGTTACCGGCTAGAACGGGCTACTATACGATGGTATACCAGAACTGTAAGTAGCTACCGGCTTGTAAAGGACAACTGCCGCCAGGCCTACCGTATAGGTATCCGGCTTCTTGTCAGAGCTTTCGCTTGTCCATGGCAATCACTGCCACTGACCTTCAACGGTAACTTCCCTGCAGCATGCGATGGGTTTGGGGTTTGGGTTCAGGAAAGGTTGGAATTAAATGGGACTCTGACCCCAACCAACCCAAGGGGCTCAATTTAGGATCCATGCCGTGAAAGGGAAAGCCTGTTTGTATCGAAGAGCGCATGATGGGGAGTGGGGGTATGGCCTAGCGGCACAAATCAGCCAAGACAGCGGATGCCGTGGTTTATCCTGGTCTTGGGGATGAACAAATACAAGTGTCTACAGTGACTACTGTTCTAGTCTTCAAGCGGTCCGTCACTGCATTCAAGACACCTTTCAAGCATGCAAAAAGCTTGGGAGAGCGATCTGCTTTCAGCATCTAGCTTGATTCGTGCCGTTGTTGCTCCTGAATGCGGCAGGCACCCCATTGATACTCTCTTTGCCCTCCGAACGACCGGAGGCACCTGCCCATGCACTTGTGAGCCTACAGGCATAGACACCGCTGAGTCTTGTTGAGGCGGCTACCAGGGATTAAATGCCCATCACCTGTGCATGTTGATGATTGTCAATATCACTGTATGCCAGCTATTCAAGTACTTGTGACGAGGTGACTCAACTCTGTGCGCAAAGGTGGGGATGAGGGGTGTAAAGACGGAGATGCGCTGCAGGAGCAAAAGATGAGATTCCCAGCCTGGATAGGCTTTTCCGTGGCTGCGCGCTCAGAAGGGACCTTGCACCAAATTATGCAGATGACATCAGTCGAGGCCTTCAGCAGCTAGGAGGACTCAGCAATAAGCAGGAACCCGAAACCCTCTGCATCTTGCGAGCTCATCAGCGTTTTTCCGGGTGATTGTGTGCGTCAATGGCTCTACATGTGCTTGTTTGGGTTTGTGGGAGTCACTGCTTAGCTGCAGCTCAGTTGGACCTAGATTGCGCGGAGTCTTGCCTGCCTTGTGCGAGTGTGAGAGTCGAAACCGAAGTCTTTTTGTGCAAAGGTGTCGGAGCCCGAGTTCTGATCTACTCGCCGGGCATTGCCTTGACATTTTTGGTGTCGACTGGCTGCATTTCCTCAGCTTTGCAGTCGGGCTCATAGACGTTGACCTGACAGGCTCCAGACCTTACTTTTCGCCTTGTTCAGTTTGCCAAATCTGTTTGGCCGTCCTCGGTTTAGACTTTGAGAAGCATTCTGGTTTTTCCTTTGAAAGCATCTCAAAGACGTCTCTTCCAAAGCTCTGCTCCAAGATACGACGCTGCGAAAACTTGGTTCGGCGTCGGAGGAGGTGCTGTAATGCAGACACTGGACTTGTTGCGGCTTGCCTTACAATAATCTATGGTTGAAGGACGTTGAAGGCCCAGAGGCCCTTTTGCTTCAGAAACCACCGCAGTGCTGCCATAGTCACGGTGCTACCAACAACTCCAGCACTTGGAGCTGCAGTCGTGGTGGTGGGGGGGTTCTGCCCTACCAGGCTTGATAGCCGTATCGAGATTGAAGGGTACTTATTGCCCCATCTTTCCGATGATAGAGGCCGCGATTTCCGGTCCTAGGTGTAGCGCCAGCGGATCCTCTACAGCCACTCCGAGACTTGTAGGGCTTCTGTAGATAGTTTCTTTTTAACATGTCCGGCACCGGCAAACCTGTCTATCGCTTCATGCGGACGAATTTTCTCTGTCACTGAGGAACCCGAGCCAATCGATGAGCTGATTTCAGTACAGCTTCTTGCATTTTCCATGCAATGTGTGGATGCCACATAGAATATCATTCTATGGAGCAGGGTTCATAGTACGATATTTGATGCGTGTCTGAAAGACCGTTACACCATCCGATGAAGCATTTGTTGTTCACGAGCATGGCTTGACATCTGCACCTGCAACTCCTTAAGCTGGGAAGCCCCAACCTGGGCTGACCAGTGCTGTACAGCGGACGAGAAGCACGGGAACCCAATGTACAGGTTCTGTAGACAGAACTCATGTATGCAGGACACAAGTATTGGCAGGTGGAGTAGCCCCGACTTGGGTCCCTGTGCCAGCTGGTTTCCACTTTCCCGAGGAAAAGGACGAAATCAGACGGCTTTGGCCGCGGAGTAGCATCAACACATACATGTCATTACACAACTCCAGTCCTGTGGGCAGTTGAACCTACCGGTGCTGGAAGCCATGGGTCATGTGGTTCATGTTGGCTCTTGTGTATTGTTTTGGCTGGAATGCTTACATCAAACCTCAGGGTCGTTCTTCTAGTGAAAAAAGAGCAGGTGCCTCTTGGGAATCATGCTCCTGCCGCGAAGATGCGAGGGATTTCAGGAAGCATCTGGCAAATTTTCGATCTAGCATTTTTCCATGCAATTTTTGAATCTGCCGCTGCTTTTTCACACGTTTAAGGGAAAGCCACAGAAGCACCAACACATTCCTCATCTTCCCACTGCGGGTAGTCTGGCAAGAGGAAAAGCAATACTAGCTTGGACTTTGCTTAAGCTCAGACTCGAAATTTCCACCCAAAATCTAGCACGGAACCGGTGGAGTGCAGCATGGTCACGGTCTTTCGGGACATTTCCTGTGGCCTCGCGAAGACAAAGCGGTGGCAGCACTGAATTTCCGAAGCTCGCCGGCACTCAGCTCAGGCCGGGCCGGGGAAGTTTGTTCGAGGGACGAAGCTGAGCTAATTCGGCAAGTGCGCGGCGGCCTTCGGGGGCTACAATTATCTAAAGAATCGCAAGTTTGAAGCTAGCCCTCTTCAAGCCGGAAGTGTAGTGGCCCCAGTAATTCTGCGGTAGTCAAATTGCTCAGCAGGCTGCTAAAGCAGTTTTAGGCCCAGCTCTTCGAGCAGACCTTGGGCAATGGCAGTGCTCGATAGAACGCAACCAAGTTTTGAGAAACAATCAAATACAATACAGCAAGATGTAGTATAAGATGGTACCAGAATATAAGCGCAAATTACTATGACAGATATATATATATATATCACAACACAGAAATCCGATTATTCCGTGTGAGCTCGAGCCTGCCGTTGGCCCCGAATTTGGTGCAGAAAAGAGTTCGATGCAGCCAATTTACACATATTATTGATATATATATATATATACATATATATGTATGTATGTATGTATGTATGTATGTATGTCTACATAGACATAGACATAGATAGACATAGGAAGTGTAACCATGAAGATTTTTGGCAGGTTCGTCATCACTCCCCGGCACAGTAGCCAGTTCATGTCTTGTAGGAGGTCATAGTAAGATGTAGCTCATGCGAGACCGACTGGAGACTGCAGACAGATGAACAGCTACACATCTTGCTTTGGTGGTGCTGCAAGCCTCGCTTGCGGGTAGCTCTGGAATCCTTGGATATATGTGCAAAGGCCACCGGGAACTCCTCACCCAACTCTCCGGGGTTCAGTCCTCGATTGTATTTGTCAACGTGTCTGAAATCCAGCGACCGGGACTGCCATGTCGTTCTACACAGCACCGAAGACTCGTCCCGTTGGCGGCTTCTGGGGCGATGAGGGAAGTCGGCGGCAGGTGGGCTGGAGACTGTGATTGCCGTCAAGGAGTCATGCGACTTCGTATATGGACACATGCGAATGGGTTGTTTGTTGGGGTTCGTTCCCCAGAAGCCCCTTTGTAACAAGATCTCGCGAAGGCCTTGGATCAGCACCACGCCGCTGAGCTCCACCGTCAGGATCTCCAAAACCGACTCTAACACTTTGAAACAGAGCAAGATAGAGCCCTAATAGGCCCAACCACGAATCTCCCAGCCGTAGCGCCTCTGTACTGGAAACCAATCTACCGTAAATCCCAAAGTCCAAAATCTTGAATCAAACGTACTAATACACCTTAAAGCCCGACTTGCTAGAGCGTAAGCCCTGTAAAGGCCGCTGCAAGGACCAGCCCTCACGAGGGCCCTAGCTGGCCAGGAACTTGACTGGAGGGCTTTGGGTGTAGCATAAGGGTCTTTTGGGGGCTTGCATGGGCTTTTATCGGGTCCATATGGAGTTTTCTTAGGATTTTTGTCGGTGGGTTATAAGGTGTTATGACACATTCAGCTTGAGACGCACTTCATGCCCTTCAGGGTTGAAGTGCTGCATAGAGATTGTCGTGATTTTGGGATGCTGCGCTAAGCATGTGCTCTCTTCCTGCGGCTGCTGTCGCAGGCAGGGTCCGGGAAAGTAGATATGCGGCTATGCACCTTCTGCCGGAACGGTACCCAAGCAGGTCATGCTACAGAGTGTCACGGTCGGCATAGTGGCGCTCGAAGACATTGCAAATGTCTGGGCATGCCATGTGACCGAGGTCAGGGATGGGAAAAGTCTTTGTCACTCCTGAGCCAAGCTCAGCAAGAAGGCAAGCGCTTCGTGCTCGGATCTTTTTTGCCCATTCCGAACTTCACTTAACGTCGGGATGGAAGGTGTGGAGGTCAACGTCTTCCACCTCTCGGCAGCAATTGCGGCTTGCTCGAAGGCCTTCCGGTAGCTGCGGCAATGGCTAAGCGAAAGCTCGCTTCTGTCGGGTGCAACAGCAAGCCGCTGGAGCCCCCTGTCAGGCGCGGCTGGCAGTTTCACCATTGCATCAACCCTACAATACCGTACGCAAACTCAAAACAAGCTATGTGTTCGGCATAGCTGGTGTTCTGTACCCGAAAACACACCTATGCATGTGCGCTCCCAGATCGACAGTGCAGGCAGTGCAGTGGAACTCTGCGATTTCCTTGCTGAGCCGCTCAGATAATTGGAGTGAGGACAGGTCTACTTCTGTTGTAAACGGTAAATATTCAGGGCTTCGTCTATTGAAGTAGCTTGCAGGACTGCCACTGCCATTCTTCGATGCTATCGAGGGCAGTAGTGTTGACTTCATGATCTTATTAATCAGGAGCTTCTGTCCACTCTCTCGTTACTCGTCTTGCTGCCACATGTGCCCCACAGCCACTAGAGTTCTGCAACACTTCTGCAACTATTGCAAGCATCGCCCTTGGTGTGTGTTTTGGGCATGTAGATTATAATTGCGATTTTGCTGCTGTGGCCACTCCTCCTGTCGGCGGCTATGCTATTTACGACTGTGCAATGACGGCCGTTTCGCACATATACCGTTGCTCCTACTCCAGCGAAGGTGTGGTGATGGTGATATGAAAAGTGTCAAAGAAGACACATGCTCGCTAGATCAATGCTGTAGCTCCGGGAATGTGATTGACTGCCAGGAAGATTTGAGTGTAGGTGTTGCTGATTTCTGGTGATGGAGGTCGTGGTGGTGGTGGTGGTGTCAATGTTGATATGTTGTTCGTGATTAGTCAGACCTTTGCTCTATTGTTTTTGTCTGGAGATGTCTTGCCCAGCTACCGATGCACATGCGACATGTCAGCCGGCAAAGCACAGCTTCACAGCTAGCTGTGTGATTGTCTTGTAGGCAGCGTTAAGCAAAAGTCCTTACATTACTGTCCCCACCCGGCTTTGTCTTGATTGCGTCATGCTGTTCTCACGTTTGTCACAGCGTCTTAGGTGATGAGCTTGCAATTAGAGGAGGCTTCACGATGCCTGGCTAAGCGTGGGGTTTCTCAAACAGATTCAAACGTCAGTGGATTTCCCTTCTCAATACATATATGTGTCTTGCGCGGAGCCTGGAAAATTAATCTAGGGTCGTCTGTGCATTCCATGGGAGAAGAGGCCAGTTTCAGCAGCTGAATGTGCCGTCCTCAGACCTGCAGTTGTGGACTCTCTAGAGGCTTTGCTCTTGTGCTTCACGTGTCGGGACAATCTCAGTAGGTGCTGGTGCTGCTGATGCCTTTTCGCAGCAATCAGGTTCAGCCAAACACGTTGGTCTACAACGCTGTGCTTGCGTCATTTGACCAGGCTCGTCTGCATGCAAATAGATGGTTGTTGCGATGATCGACATGGCATGGCTCCAGCGAAGCCTTTTCATGCTGCTTCCCGTGCGTTTCCACACCGACTAGACGCGCTTCCGTTGCTTCGAACCGCGCATTCTTGGCTTCAGAAGTTGAGAGGCGGCAGTAGCTAGGAAGTTGAAAGCTCTTTGGAAGCCAGCCAAGAAGTTTCCAGCATCCAATCAAGCCCGCAGCCTTAAGCTCAGTACGATTTACAGTTGGACAGGCGGTACGAATAAATCGCCCGAATGTCAAAAAGCATGTAGCCACTGTTTCTGGCCGTCTTCCTGTCAAGTGTCAGCTCTGCGCTGTTATTATTATTCTATTGGAACTAGCCTAGCCCCAGTTCGTCGGTTCTTTGTTTGAAGCAAGCCCACATCTGAGCACTCAGCTTCATCCGGCCTTCTGAGATTGCGGGCACCTCTGCGATTCGTGAAATCTGGCCATGGAGGCTTTTGCTGTTTGGCCTCATTCGCCATGGGTTTCAAGGCTCGGATGCCGTTACCTTATGAATCATGCATGTACTCGAAGAGTTTCGTAGAAAAACTGACGAAAATGTACCGCTTTGAAGCTAGATGTGGTGTTATATGCATCTTCTCATTGGTTGACCGTGCCCAGCAATTCGTTGAAGCTTGGTCTTGGCCACCCGCGGCCTTTCTGAGATCCTAAGCAGACAGAAAGCCTGCCTCCTCTTTGGGAAACCCCCAGCTTCATGATCCATGCCTGCCAGATGGATAGTTCTTGAAACTGGGGTCCCTATGTCTAGGTCCCCGGAAGAGCATGGCACTTATAAGCAGGACCCTCAAAGGGACCCGAATTTAGATAACTGCCCATTTCCAGTCTGTAGTTTGGCTACAACATGCTCGGAAGATAGAGATCAAGAGCCTTTTGATGCTCACCCCTATATGCTCATCCTTTGGTGATATCTCCATGTACTTCTTGCTGTTGTCGCTTTCTCAAGTAGTGAAACAGGCCGTAGTCTGAAAAGTCTGTACACTCACTGAATTCCTGAAAAGGTTGCAACATGTTGTGACAAGTCCGGCCGTCGTGTCCTAAGAAAGCCTTCAGAGGACTGCTCCCCTGCGGCCTGCACCGCCGACCTTGCACGCTCGGCCGCCACAACGGGTTTGCCGAAGGCGGGGAACAGAGTAAGCAGTGAAACTCAGCTGTCATAAGGAGTGTTTTGACAAGAGACAGCACTCGCCTGCTGCAGGGCAGGAGCCGGGGATTTCTCGACGACCGAGATTGTGTGCCTTGGCGGGAGCTTCTGCTTGAGTTCACAAATCAGATGGCGCTTGCAGTCGACACCCGCATGCCCTGGCTCTCGTTTTGGCGGTGGCCATTCTAGCAAGTTGGTACAGGGCCAGTCGGGACGAGGGTAGGCCACCAACAGTTTTGCCCGTTGTCGTTAGTTTCGTGCAGTTGTGCCAAGCGGCTAGTAGCATCGCCACTAGCACAAGCGTCATGTGCATCAACATCATGATTACCAGATCGAAAATTTCTTCTCGCCTGCGTGACTATCACCACCACCGTCCACAAAGTCGTCAGCAATATTGTTCGCCATCGTGTGGGTGCAGCTACCATGCGCATCGATATGTTCCGCGCATGTTATGTGATGGGCATCAAGCCAAATCTGTTGTATTAGAATGATGCGGGGTGGATACATCATTTATACGTGCACTATGTTTTAATTTATATGTGCATGCATGTGCGTGCTTACTTATCTAGTTGTGTATGCATGTATCTGAGTATGCATGTGGGTACAAATGCATGTGTGTGCATGTGAATATGCATGTATGTATTTCTGTAGTTGTATATGTGTATGTACTTGTGCGCACCTATCTGCCTATCTATCAATCTGTCGCCCTGTCCGTGAATCGATCTACTGCCTGCCTGCTCGCTCCCTCTCTCTGCCTCCCTCTATCTGTCTATCTATCTATCCATCTGTCTATATGCAAACAAGAGTAAACAGTACTGGATCCTCAAATACACCCCTGATTTGTTATGTTTCTTCTTGACCCTTGGTCTTGCTGGAGACGCCTCTGCTGCCTTGCTTGCTTCATCATAGAACCTAGCATGTATCACAATGTATCACCATACCATAACATACTGTGATATATTAAAGCAGGCTAAAATATGTTAGAACTATGCGATTATGTAGATAACAGATGTATGTGTTGTATATCATGTTGCGTGAGTCCATTTAAATTTGTTTGCTTGTCTACGTATATGTAGAGTTCATCCTATTTCTATGCCATACTACATGATATTATACTCTATTATGGTATATTGGTATATTATAGTATATCATAGTATATTGTAGCATATCATAGTATATTATAGTATTTTGTAGTATTTAATTACAGTATGTTATAGTGTGTATATATATATATA